TATATATATATATATATATATATATATATATATGGATTATAAACATTAAAATTTAAAAATGAGAAAAATTTAAATATATTAACAATTTCAATTTAATATATTCATTTTAATATTAAAAAAAGTAAAAAAAAATTAATTTTATATTTTTAATATCTTTTCTTATAAAATAAAATATTTTTTATAATATTTATTAATATTTATAAATATTAAAAATAATATTTATTTTGCAATTAATATAAAATATATTAAAAATATAATAAAAAGGTTATTAATCATAATTCACCTCTATCAAATGGATAATGCATAATTATAAATATTTTAAAAATACTTTGTTTTCATAATGAACTCAAGAGGTTACCTTCAGCTTTTTTGAATGAAGTCACATAATTTTATTTCCATCATTATATAGAGGACATTAAGATGAATTGAACAAATATAAAAACATGTTATTAAATTTATAAACATTAATATTAGATTTATAATAGCAATAATAGTAATATTTTTTATTCAATTTATTTTTCAATTTATGATGGAAAAATTATATAATTTCATTTAAAAAACTTAAAATACTTTTAAATTTTTCTATTATTAATGTATAGATGATATCTATATATTGGTGATATAAATTTATATTAATAAATTTTGTATTATTTTTTTTAAGCAGATTAAAATTATATAGAATTTTAAAGTGTAGATATATTCATATAGATGATATTCTTTTATAAATATCAATATCATTTGAAATATTTTTCATGACTTTTATTTTTATTTTATTAAATACAATTTGGTGAAATAATAAAAATTATTATAAGAAAAAATATAAAAATATTATATATATATAAATGAGAAAAAATATAAAAATATAAAATTAATAAAATTAGCTATATAAATATTATTTATGATTTCAGACAAAGGGTTCGTTCTTTGGGTCTGATTGGTACTAAATGGTTGCCTGCAGACAGCATGTCTACTCTGTCAGGGCTTGTGTCGAAGGGGGAGAAAGGAAAATCCAAGTTTCAATCATTAGACATCAATAGCTTGTATCGGGTGAGTAGGGTGAGTTGGCCAAACATTTTTTTTCTTTTTTTCCCTCTTTTTATTTCTTTTCTTTTTTCTTTGACTTTTATTTTTTTTTTATATGATAATATTTTATTAACTATTACATTTTCTATTTGTTTAATTGTGGAATTATTTCCAACAATTCCTCAAATTGAGATTCCAGTTTTTGAGATATATATACTTTAAAAATTTAAAATATAATATGTCATAAAATGAAAATTTTATAAATAAAATACACTTTTTTTCATTTCACTTATAAAAAATATTTTTCTCTTTTGCTATGATTTAATATTCTATATTCTATGATTCAATAAAATAAATGAAATAAAAAAAAAAGCCAACATTCCTCAAAATACTTATCTCTCCAAATAATTATTGTATTTTGATTTTTACAATAATTAACAGAGTATTACTGTATATATTCCTATTTCCAGTTATCTTTTTTAATGTATTTATTTTTTTTACATAATTTATAGTTTATATAATTTGTAGTTTCATTGTATATATTACTATGTATATATTACTATGTATTATTTTATATATTACTTTAAGAATATTAAAAATCAAATAGTTATTTAAAGAAAAATGGAATTGGTATCCGATTTGTACTTATAGGGTGAATCTTTAGAACAACATCAACAAAAAAACACATTACCACGCAAACATGGAATGCAAAGTCTTGGAAAAGTGCCTTCGGCACGGCGACCTCCAGCTAATCTGCCTAGTTTAAAAAGTGAACACAGCAGTAACGATCCAGCTGTCAGTCTTGTACCAAGTGGAGGAAGTGGTTGGGCTACTACCAAAGAGTCGACAACTACCACTACTACTACAACTATTACAGCTGTAACCACATCAGATACATCTACTGTAATTTTATAAATATTTATTAAGTAAATTTTCTAACATTGATAAATAATTTTTGACATGATATTTATTTATTGATATAAAAGAAATATATAAAATTATTTTATAGTATTGTTATAATAAATACAATATTAGCAATATTTTTTTCATATAAATTTTTATTTATAAAAAATTGTCATGTTTTTCTTTTATTATGTTTATTTTTTATTTTTATCTTATACTTTTTCATAATTATTTATGTATTTATTTATTTTATTAAAGATAAGAATAACAAAAATTAAAAATTAATTATTTTATTCTCAGGCAAATTCTTCAACAGCACAATGTGTAGCAGGAACTATTACAACAACATCATTACATCCATTACTCCCAGGGCAACAAAATACTTCACAATCTTCATATCCTTCCGATGTGAACAACAAATCGTCATGGAGTGCAATAATGAGCAGATCTGGAGATGGTATGAAAAATACATATTATAAAGAGAAATATGTAATATATTATATATTGTTTATATATGTTTATATTTGTATAATAATAATTTATATACAATTTTTTTCAGTTCTGTTATATTATTAATATTAAATAACATTTTTATATATTTTCTTAAAATAAAAAAAAAGATAAATAAAATAGAAATGAACTTTATTATTTCATTATTAAAAATTTAAAAATAAAATATATAATATAAACTAATTTTTAAAAAAGATTTAAACATTATATTCAAGATAAATATTATAATAATAAATATTTCACAATTCCAATATTACAAAATATTTTTTCAATATGTTCTGCAAGCAGAACACATTATTTATATAATGTGATAATTATGAGCATAAAATATATATAATACATATAATATATTAGAATAGAGGGTTTAGAATAATACATTAAAAAATATTAAAATAGTATATTAGAAAATTAATTGTATATTTGATTTATGAAAAAAAAATTATTTTTGTTCTTTTTTTCTTTTTTTTTTATTTATATTTTAAATATTATCAGTGAGAATTACTAACTTATAGTTTTTTTTTGTAATAGATAAAATTTATAATATAATTAATAATGTATTATAAATAGTGTATTATTCCTAATTTTATTAGTTATAAATCATAAATTAAAAAATAATAGAATATTGAATTAATGATCATGTGGTCATAATGAAGTTTAATGTATTGATATTCAGGAACTGCAGCAGGAGGGCAACAACAGTCACATCAACAGCAGCAACAACAAACAACAAGTCGGGAATTAAGTGCGCAATATGGACCTGGTCCAAGTTTACG